CCTCCATCGCTGAAGAATGTCATCATCCTTGGTAAGAGGGTGTCCAGATCTGTCCTTCAAGACTCTAAGAATGCGGAACATTCTAAACATCGCAGACAGGAAGCAGTCAGGTGAAAGTATCCAATTCCAGTATTTTAAAGCTGTCCACTAATCAGTGTGGTCTCGTAGTGCAAACAGTAAAATGAAGCGATACATAATTTTGCACGCCTTGTTAATGTGATCGTTGTTTTTCGATTTGCTGCCCAAAACATATTACGATATATTCCCTTCTCAAGGATGCACTGCTTAGAAATCTGACACTGACACTCTACACTACCATTTTGGAATAACAGATAGTCGATTAGAACAACACCGAAACGACTAGATATAAAATAGACTAATGATCATAACGTACGTCTCCCGTCTGAAGGTTGATTATTTCGAACGCGTGTTTGACGATTCTAATTGCCATCAGTTTCTTGCCGTTGTTGCGCCCATGCATCATCAGCGAACAGACGAGTCGTTCAACAATCGGGCACTGGTTCTTTCGAAACCTCTTCACTTGATACCGACCAGCAGAATGAGGCAGATACTTGGCATGTTTGTCTTTTACTGCTATATGATCCTAAAACAATAATATAGTATGGTCTAAGCGGTGACCTACAAGCAACAGCCAGTACAAACAATTGAAAATTTTTAAATAATATGATCAGTAGGTGTCATATATAAACACTCATTTGAACTAGAAAAAATAAACCCTAGGTCGCATCCTTTACAAAGATGACCCGAAACAACTAACGGAATTAAAACGTCGCATGTCCATATTATACTCTGTTAGCACTGATCAAAATACTACACCGGAATAAAGAAGCGTAAATTCCCATAGAAAATACAGGCCAGAAAGTCACAGATTTTACAAACAGCAAATAATGCAAAGTTTTCAAAGTAAAGAAAGAGCTCACATTAAATCTTTCATCCCTTCGCGGAGCAATACAAAGTTATGATAATTTTCTCGGTACAGACCCTGACTTACGCCAATTCTACCAAAAGAGCTATGAAAAAGTTTCACTTAACGCTTTCACTTAACACTCCTACGTCACTCACACGCCATTTAACAGCGGTTTTTCACAATACAGACAATCCTAGTATTTCATACGTGTGTCTTCCTCAGGCACACCTTGTTTATTACTGCACGCAGCCGCGCCGTGTATTTGCTTTCATATACTTTAATAATTTTTAGTTTGGCCGCTGTCGCAAAATACAGTAATGACTGAAACAAGAAAAAAAAAGGTGAATCCATATATAAACGCACCACAATTAATTTAGAATGAAACGATGGACAAAGCTTAACGGTCATAGGTGTTGGCTTCGCAATATCAACAGAATTTTTCAAAGACAAAATCAAAATTTTAAGACAATTCTCAATCTTTTGTGGCAAATAATAGTTAGTGGGGTAGATTTAAAATCGTGCTGATTTTCAACTTGCAGTCCCTGGGAAAAACTGCTAGTGAAGATGCTGACCAACTACATCAAAATGATGATAAACATTACATACATCATAAGTTGTTCGCAAGTTCAAGTATGTCAAACAATAAACGCTTCATACAAAACGAATTTCGAGGTGTACTGCCCTGTCCCCTTGCAATACGCCATCAAATCTGGTCTCGGATGAGTTTATTCATTACTTAAACATCATGTCGAAGACTGATTCACTTAAATGGGAACGGATTAACAAATGAAAAACTTACTGAATCAGAAGCGACAAAAGTTGCTGAAAGGGCGAGACTTCAGAATCAGGAGCGGAATCGAAACATTTCGTGACGACAGAGATGACAGTCGCGTTGCGTGCCATTTCAGCAGGCGTGGTACGACTGGAGAAGATGGATCCTAATACCTAACGTTTCTTCAACTCCAAATAGAAATAGATGACGCTATGGCTTGTTATCGAGTGTTTTATGAAGGGAAGAAAAAAGCTATTTGAAAAGTCCGTCATCTTTTGGTCATTTCATGAAAAAGATTTCACGGCTAAATGAAGCGTTTTTAAAATCTCTAACAATATTTATACTACATTATAAAACTTTCATTAATAATGGCTCAGTGATATCTAATTTTTGTGTGTATGCTATGAAAGAAACTAATAGAAATAACCGTTAGAAGGTTAATGTACTACTATATGCACAATCCGTAAACACGTAAACAATAGGATGTGATGAATGAGCGCAAAGAGGTGGGTCAAATCCGACTTACCTAAAATTTGTGTTACATAAAGATTTGCAGAAATTCACTCTTACGTCAAGTCGGGGACAGCGTGTAGTTGGTTACTTGTTTCAAAATATCTGTACTGAAAAAACTGCATAAAACACGGCTTACTTTAACACAACGAAAAAGATACAGTGGCCACTCCGGCGGCTGACCAATACAGACGTTTCGGTCCGTGTCTCATGAGCCTTCCTCAGGATAGGTTGGTGATGGTGAACATTGAAAATTAAAAAAAATTAAAATGAAAATTTCGTGAATTTGGTTAGCCTTTCGCAGCATTCGGTAGCTTTGGAGCCAGAAGGCCTTCCCTTAAGATATGGGCCAAAACGTCGGTACTGATCAGTCATTGGATCTTTGCAGAGTATCTTCTGCGCTGTGTATGAGTAAACTGCTTTACGCTATTTTTTCATTTATGACCAACAAAACACGAACGAATTACTCCAAAATATCTGTAATGTGATTAAGCTACGTTATAAACAAGTAGATTTATTAGACAGCCTGCAGTTCGAATTACTTGCTCTGTCTGCCCGTTTCTGTTACCATTAATTGAGCTGCTGTAGACAGAAATCCCAGACAGAAATCAGTCGAAAGATTTCACTGTATAAACGCTATGAACAGCAATGAAATGTTACATCTATGCCAATACTTGTGTATATTCTATTTTTTTACTATTACCAATTCCCCTTTTTTCTCTGCCCTTCTACATTCACTATTTTACTGTTAGTGTATCTTCCTTCCTCTCTCTGCCTCCCCTGCATGCTTCATATATTAGTCTTTCATCACTCTTCTTCCTCTACTCTTCCTTCGCTACCTAACTGAACACATTTTTTTCAGAACGGAAATGGTGTAATTAATTGCAAAAAACAAGTACCGCTAGAAAAAGCATGAAGTGCTACTGATAAAATAACAAACACACTAAAAGAACACAATTCTTTAGCACTAACATATACTTTAAGTACACTCACCACTAAGCTCATGTCGCTGATATCCACGTTCATAAGCTGCCACTTTCCAAACAGTTTTATGTCGTCTACTAAATCAGGTTGACCAATAGATGAAATGATAGGAGCGGGTGCAGGAGCAGTTTCCATCGGGAAATCCATGTCTGCTAAAACATAAGATTAAAAAATTACATATGGCAAACTACACTTTTCCAACAGAAAAATGTGTATTAATATTTGTGTAATGTGTATTAATATATTTAAATTAACGCAACAAAAACTACTTCAAAATTTGAGGAAAACCATAACACTGCAGTAAGTACATCCGCAAACATATTTTCGCTGGATTTACAAGGCATGACCATACGGTTTCACTGGGTTCAAAGCTTAGAAATATTTTATAGCCGATCAGGGCTCTGTGACAGAGCAAATGCAGTAGTAAGGAAATTCAAAACAATACTCCATTCATCCAAAACATAATAGTAGCTCATTCTGGATTATGTGGCCCATGAAGATAGCCCCTAGAATATGAGGACAGGCCTCCAGCTTTAAAGTATCTGTAATGCAAGAAGACAAAGTCTAATCACAGTAATAAAGCAAATGCTTCGACAATCCGTTATACTGCAATTTAATAAACCTATTTATACGCTGCAAAAATAATTTATACAAAAATCATTATGTACTATAACTGCCTCATTTTTCTCTTAACGTTACGATCTTTGCATCACATACTTTTAGGAAATAAGAAAGCAACGACAGACTGCTTAGAATATTTGCTTTTTACTGTCATGTTACCTCATTTCTTTGCTGAACGAGTGGCATATACTGTTAATTAAAAGTCCCGCAGAAGTTGAACCTCAAAAACGAACTGGACTGGACATCCCAGGAAAAAGCAATTTTGTGCCTAGGGAATGAGGTTGCACGTGATCGTCCATACTTATTTAAACTCGATACAGCATCGAGCAAAAAATGCACAATTAACTACAGCTGAAAACTCTCTCGCATCTAAGATTTACTTAAATGCACCTAAGTTTAGTCGAAGAACACTTGCTTTATCATACGCTGCCAATGGTTACTGGCCCAAAAATAATCGAAAGATGCTCTACAAAGCCAAAGTTCGGACAGCACCGCAGCAGTCCGAAATTTCTGTGCTCAAATAACCCTTAACTTTCTTTTTACACACATCCGTTGAGTGATAATTCCTCCTCTCTGCTGGTACTCTAACAACATGGACTCTAGATGTTACGTTATATTTACTGCAAAAATCAAGTAACAACACTCTGATTACAATCCACAAGTCTTAAAAACGAACCTAAGTTGAATATTGCAATAATGGCAATTCTCGCTAACAAAAAATGCATTCACTTTACGATATAAAACTAGCAATTCTGATGCAAGTTTTCCTGAAGAAAACTTCAGAAGGAACCAACTACCAGATGGTTCCATTGGTCTTTCGCCTCTATACACAAATCTGACGAGTGACACTGCGATTCACCAAGTCTTCTTAACCATTATAACAATGATCGAGAATAGCAGATCAAATGCAAACGTAGACACAGACAACTGATCTGGATTACGATACTTCAGTTATCTTGTTAATACAACTGACTTCAGCTTCATTTTGCAAAGAACACCAATTCTCCCACCATCAGCAACGAGGCTACAGGCGGCAGAATATATAAATAAAAATATATTAATTAGAATAAAGACGAATGAATGCGTAAGATTACAAACGAGAGGCTGTGTTGTGTTGTTAATGCCCACGTGAAGAAATAAACGTAGTGATTAGTAGGGCACGTCGCAAGCAGAATGAGACATCTGCGACCGGATTCCATG